GTTCATTAAATGTCAAAATGTATGTTTGTGTTTATTGATATGCTATTTCTTTTTATTTGTATTCTTTTGATGCCTGTTACACCTTGTTTTTTTAGGGTGTCACCATTTTTAATTTATTCCGGTGATCAGAGTGACAATTCTGGGCTTTTTATTACTCCCTTAGAGGAGTTAAAAAATTGGTGGGGGTAAGCCTTTACTTTCATGTCATTTATTTGATTGATTTTTAGTATATTTTCTCATCTTTTTTGTTTTTTTACTTAAATTAGAAGTGTGTTATTTTTCTTTATTTTTTTACAGATTTTGTTTCTATCATGGCTGATATAACCTTTTGTAATACAAAAGGTGACACTTTTGTTATTTCACTATCTAATGATTCTATGACTATGAAAATTGGAAATTATTTTTTTCCTGATATTTCATTGTCACTTTCTGCTTCAGAGCTTTCATATTGTCTCTTGTTCATTTAAAAGAGTTAATTTTGTTTTTATATTTGCCATCTGTGCTATGATGCCTATTTTAAAAATGTAATTTCCTAGGATAAAAGGAATTGCAAGTTTAATTCTTGTTAAGAGGCACTTTTTCTTTAATAAGACTTTTAATTACTTAGGCCAAATGTTAATTTCACTGCTTAAAAAATATATGTGGGGGGGTAGTAAAGATTTAAAATGAGTAGTCACTAAATATAATAAAAAATAATGCTGGATTGAGAAACATCCATTAATTGCTTAAAAAAAATGACACCAATTTTTTCAAACTATTATCCTCATTTTGATTGTTATAGTCACAGTGCTTCAACTGTTGTACCATCTGGTCTTCTTCAGCTGCTTGTTGTACGCAGTAACAGCCCTAGAATTTCAAACTGAATCCTTTAATTAATCTGGTGTTCTCGTTCAGATTTCTATACCAGGGGAGATAACTCTTATTAGTACATTCTGTTATTTTGTTAATTTGTTTTTGTGATGCAGCTTCTGTTTGTTTTGCTGGATTGTACTGCTTGACTCAAGGATTGATCTGAAAAACATTACTGATGCTAATACACACAAGGCCATTGTCTCCAAGAAGATCAGAGGGAATATTGGTCAAAATGTGATTATAATTAAGATGGGAACAACAATTTTAATAAATAAAGGTCTTATCAAACAGGACTTGTTATTATGCTTGCATCTGTTTCACTTCTAAACAGACAGTTTGGGGGAGGGAGGGAGGGAGGGAGGTGCTTTGAAATCAAGAGGCAGACAAGAAATGTGACCAGGCACACACACACACACACACACCGGTGCTGAAACATTACATGGAATTGAGAATGTTATATTGCCCAGGAGTTTTTGAAAGAGGCAAGAAGTGAAAGCAAAGAAAAAGAGAGAGAAAGAAAAAAACATAATGTAAAGAGACAAGAAATCTGTTTGTCATTGTAGTGGGGGTGAGGGGTAAAAAGAACAAAAAACATGACAAATATTGTGACCCCAAATCAGGAAGAAGAGGTCATTATAGAAAGGGAAATCAGAGAAAGACTGAGCTAAAACTGCCCAGTCAACTGCAAAATATGCATCTTTGATGCTACTCCTTTGAAGATTTTGGATGGTAATTCCCCTAAAGAGAATTGCAGCAAGCAAGAACTCTCATTCCAAAATTGTCTCAGATTACTGAATACATTCTTTATGTTACTTTGGTTAGAATATAGAATCATCTGCATTATGTTAGTTGTTGTAAATTAAATTACTCTTATACTTCATATTGCTGGGAATGAGCCAGACCTATTGAATATTTCAGTTTCATCAAAAAAAAAGGCATGCTACATGGAACTAGAACAATCTACCCCCATGGACTAAATAAAGGGTCTGGTTTGAAATTCCATTGGTCTGAAGAAGACTGGAGCATAAAAAGGCTGAAAAGTCATGAATATGACAAAGATGAGGACAACACTCTGAATAGTGTAAATAGTTCCAATGCATCATCTCAGAAATATAGACAGATACCATTTTTTAGTTTACTAACTTCTTTTTTTTTTGTAGAAAAGAGACTTCTTTATTTTTATGGATTATACATTTGAAGAAGGCTGTAGAATGGAATGGTTAGAATATAACAACAAAAGCAAATAATTTCAACAGAGAAAAACCTTTCAGAATTACAGGAAAGATCTTACAGTTTGATTCAAATGTTTTTTGAGAGAATTTCTAAAAAGCGATTACTAACTAGTAAAGTCAACAAGAATTTTGTTGGACTTAAAGAGATTTTTATATATTTTCTTTATGACCAAACCTCTTATTAAATTAGAAACAGAATAATTTAGATAAGTGGTTGTTTCATAAACAAATCATTAATGTGGTCTTTTGTGAAACCTGGTAAAAGTTTTATTTTATAAAAGTTCCTTACATTTTGAAAGAACAAGTTCTGAGTAGACAAGTGGATGAGGATCAATAATCAATAAAACTTGTGGTAGGTTGTGCCAAAGGGTTACTTAGCAGAAACTTCAGAAGAAAAACAAACTGTGTCAAGAGTATGAAGTAAATAATATATTTTTATTCATTTGATTTAGAAGGAGTCCTTTGATCTTCAGTGGAGCAAAATGTTCATTTACAAGCCGGATATTGGTAGCAGTGTGGAGAAATATCCCTTTTGGCCTAGTAGTGTGTAGTTTTGAAGTCAGATCTTACTAGTAGTAGTAGTAGTAGTAATCTTAGAAATAGTTTAGTGTCAATCTACTGTGTTTTTATCAGCCCTAAGCAGGGCAGAAATATGACTAGCAGAAGACCTCTTAACTACTTCTTCATACATCACATATGGTAGGTTTCTTTTTGCGGCTACATCCCTTGTTGTCACTCTTGCTGTCCTTGCTGCTGTTTCGGTCAGAGGTGTGAGCTTATATCCTTTTGACCATGCTCTGAGACTCTGGTGTGAACCTTGGTTTTGGCTAACATCAAAAGTCTCTTTTTCATTGGCCAAAATTATTTTCTAGCATTCCTATTTGTTTTTTTTTATTTTATAATGGAAGTTATGTGTAGAGCCTGTCTTATTCTGGTGGAGTTATAGACATAAATAACTAGGCTCTAGTCCTGCAAACTTCAGTCATTTTTCAGCCAGGTTCAGTTTTTTTCTTCTTCCTCTTTTTATTTGAATTACCTTCTCATTAGTTGAGAGAGAGAGAGAAAAAAGAGATAAGGGTTATGAAGGAAGACCTTATTTTAATTTGAATTCTTTTTATATTTTTGTTTATATATTCTATTTTACACAGCAAAATAACAGAGGCTTAAAGTGTTTGGTCATGAATTTGGTGGAATAGTAATTGAAAGATTTATCCCTAGGCTGGCTCATACAAACCCAGTAATCAACAGGATTAGCAAATAACAGGATGGGGCTTAAAAAACATATCCTTAGATATGGACAGTCGAACAAGAACAATATACCCCCATAGAATAAATAAAGGGTTCAATTTCAAATTCCCTGAAGGTTACCCAGATTGACAATCACCTGATGAAGGCCAGAGAGCACAATGGCCAAAACATTGTGACAATAATAAGGAGAATGGCATCAGTCTGATTTTAAGTAAATAAGTTTAAATAATAATCATGATTACAGATTAGATATTTACTAAGCGCACTTAGCTTTACATGCAAGAGACTGTCTGCTCATCAGTAGCCACAAAGTTTTTAATGTTGTTTAATGGCACATCAACATCCTTAAGGGTCATTTAATGCTGAAATATTTCTTGGGAGCTTGAAAGTAATAAAAATATGATATATGTTATTCTGCTTTCACAATTGAATGTATGATAGATAATACTCACCTCTTGTTCATAGACATGTTTGTGTGGCCATAATTACTAGAGGTGGTGATGTTTTATGTTGGAGTTTTGTTGAATTTATATTTTGGAATAGAGTTGGATTTCTTTAAGCAATTGTGGGATATTATATGAAGAGTTCATGTTGGTTGTTTGGTAGTATTTAAATGAATTTGGGTGACTATGATTTTTTTAATATATGCATATTGTTGGTAATATTTTTATATAATGATATATTACAGGTATTTTTACTATAAAATGTATTTTTATACTTTCATAGTGTTTTGTTTTTGTTTGGGGATTCACTAATTACCCATAAACGGGACCCTAACAAGTGCTAACCCTCCTCCCCAACAGCAATTAAGAGGTGGTTCCATGCTCAACAAAACTGCCAATCTTCTTATCAAATGCTTTGTTGCCAGATGTAGTTTACTGGCATAAAGTTTTTAATGTCTTAACTAATGTTAACAAGTGCTCACTGAAATAAAACCCAATTAAAATATTTCAGTTCTTATTTGAGATAAGAGTGTTGTTTCTGTTACGTTTTCATTATTTTTTGAATGTTGCACTTTGGAAAACAATTCCTAATTTGTTTAACATTTCAAAATTCTTGTTCATATCATGATTGAAAAAATATCTTATGGAAACTTTTGAGATAATAAATACAAGTGAAGGTTATGGTTTACAAAAGAAAAATCATGTTAGAATCTTCACCATGAAATTTGAAAATCTTATTTGAAGAATTTATACAAAGAATTTTTTTTCATAAAAGAAAATGGATCACATTCTTCAGTTTGTTTTAAGATGTCATTTAGAATGTCCATTAAGTTTTTTTTTTTTTTTTTAATAGTGAAGACAAAAATGCCAAGAGAAGCAATTATTTCAGTGAATGTCATCTAAAAATATGTAATGAAAATTACAGACTCCAGAGTTAAATAGAAAAGAACAGATAATTACAACTTTGGTAAATCAATTTGTATTCAAGTAATGACAGGGGAGATAATCAACTTATAGATTTTTATACCAAATACTTTGTAAAGAGGCAGTGACTTTTTAACTAAGTTAAATAAAATTATGCATATCACACCATTAGAGACGAGAAGAAAATGTCTCTCCTCAGAATATTTTGAAGAAAAAAATGTGGAGAGACAAAAACAAACTAGATTTTTGATTAATACAATATTTAAACATTGAGTTTGGTTTCTGGAGCACCAAGTGAAGATTATGGATGGGCAAATGAATGAAAGAAAGAAAGAAAAGAAAAGATGGGGGAGCGACAGAAAGAAAAGAAAAGATGGGGGAGCGACAGAAAGAAAAGAAAAGATGGGGGAGCGACAGAAAGAAAAGAAAAGATGGGGGAGCGACAGAAAGAAAAAAGAAAAGATGGGAAACGACAGAAAGAAAAGAAAAGATGGGCGACAGAAAGAAAAAAAAAAGATGGGGAACGACAGAAAGAAAAGAAAAGATGGGGAGACAGAAAGAAAAGAAAAAAGACGGGGGAACGACAGAAAGAAAAGATGGGGGAACGACAGAAAGAAAAGATGGGGGAACGACAGAAAGAAAAGATGGGGGAACGACAGAAAGAAAAGACGGGGGAACGACAGAAAGAAAAGAAAAGACGGGGAACGACAGAAAGAAAAGAAAAGACGGGGGAACGACAGAAAGAAAAGAAAAGACGGGGGAACGACAGAAAGAAAAGATGGGGGAACGAAAAAGAAAAAAGCGGGGAACGACAGAAAGAAAAAGGGGGGAACGACAGAAAGAAAAAGATGGGAGCGACAGAAAAAAAAAAAGATGGGGAAACGACAGAAAGAAAAAAGAAAAGACGGGTGAACAAGAGAAAGAAAAGAAAAGACGGGTGAACGACAGAAAGAAAGAAAAGATGGGCGAATGAAGCGACACCATTGAAAAGAAAAACTCTCAGGGGATGAAGAGAAATGAAAAAAAGCTCAATTGAAACGAAAGAAAAAAAAAAAAATCGGAAACGACAGAAAGAAAAGAATCACGGACCAAATAGAACAGATTTTCTCATAAAGAGGAAAATGCAATTTTGAAAAGGATAAAGACAGGAAAAGATGTCGACAGAAAGAAAAAGAGGTCAACGACAAGAAAAATAAAAGATGGGGGGAACGACAGAAAGAAAAATAGATGTCGACAGAAAAGGTCAATGCGACAGAATAAAGGCTGAAGAGGGAATAGAAACTCCTTACAGAAAAAAAAAAGCAATCTTATAAAGGCGAGAGAAAGGAAAAGATATAAACGACAGAAAGAAAAATGCAATCTTTTAAAGGCTGAAAAGAAAATGGGTTCCCGATGAAAAGAAAAAATGTAATAAAACGACTGAAATGAGAATAAATCCACCTATAACATGGACATGAAAAGAAAAAAAAAAGCATCATGTGATGCATTTTAAATTAAAAAAAAAAAAGTAATTGAAACGACAAAAAAGAAAAGAAAATAATTATAGAATTTTTAGAACTTTGTAATGAAGGAAAGTCTTGAAAAGTCTGTAACGACAGAAAGAAAAAGAAAACTTTGGTTTTAGTCTTTGACAGAAAAGAAAAAACTAAAAAGTCAGCAAGACTAAACTAAAATAAAATGGATAAAATAAAAAAATTTTAAAAAAATGTCAGTCCCGACAGAAATCAATTTTCCCAGAACCCATAAAACGACATAAAATAAAGCAGGAAAGATCCAAAAGGTATCACGACAGAGTGAAAAAAAAAGATACAGTTAAGAAAGAAGGACAGATGATTACGAAAATAATGGCAATCAATAATTAATTCTGAGCGACAGAAATGAAAAAGATTTATTATGGATGAGTTGAAAAAATGGGCAACGATAGGTAGAAAAGAAAAGATGGGGTGCGACTGAAAGAAAAAGAGAAACGGGAAAAGAGATAAACAGCGACAGAAAGAAAGGTGTTGTTGGCAAAAAGACGACAGAAAAGAAAAGTTGAAAATTTACTTTCGACAGAAAGAAATTTGAAGAACGACAGAAAGAAAAGATTCACTTCAGACTTTCCCAATAAAAAATTCATTTACGACTAAAAATAAAAAGATGGGGAACGACGAGTTTTAGAAAAGAAAAAATGGCCGACATTTTGAAAAATTTCATGAAAATAGTAATAAAAAGAAAAGTCGTTTCGACATAAAAAGAAATTTGAAAAATTTGCTGAATGAACTGTTACCATTAATGTTGGTTGAAATTTCTAAAATTTCTCTGAAAACAGTTGATGTGGAAATTATGAGCTCAATTGATAAATGACTAGAGATTTTTTATGCGGTCTTCATTCTTTAACAATTTAATTGAACCAAATAGAACAGATTTTCTCATAAAGAGGATAATGCAATTTTGAAAAGGCTAAAGAGGGAATAGATGTCCTTATGAAGAGGTCAATGCAATCTTATAAAGGCTGAAGAGAGAATAGGTCTCCCTATAAAGAGGTCAATGCAATCTTTAAAGGCTGAAGAGAGAATGGGTTCCCTATGAAGAGGATAATGTAATAAAAGCTGAAATGAGAATAAATCCACCTATAACATGGTTCATGTCATCCCATAAAAAGCATCATGTGATGCATTTTAAATTAAGAAAAAAGTAATTGAAACTTTGTAAATAATTGTAGAATAACTTGTACAATTATAATTATAGAATTTTAGAACTTTGTAATGAAGGAAAGTCTTGATAAAAATCTGTATTTTTTTCTTAAGTTTAGTACTTTGGTTTTAGTCTTTGTCCATTTGTAACTATCCAGTCAGCAAGCTAAACTAACATACAATGGATAAAATAAGAAAGCATTTTAGCTCAAATGTCAGTCCCACCTCCTCATCAATTTTCCCAGAACCCATAAAACATTCATAAAATAAAGCAGGAAAGATCCAAAAGGTATCAACTTTCCTAAGTGATAAATTAGATACAGTTAACCAATCTAGGACAGATGATTAATAAAATAATGGCAATCAATAATTAATTCTGATAACCTACAGATTATGTAATGTTATTTATTATGGATGAGTTGCAAATAGCAATGATAGGTAGTACTGACAGAGTGGTGTATCTGAAGTTCTGTATGGGGAAGAGATAAACAGCCCATATAAAGGTGTTATAAAAAAAAAAGACCCTGCTGGAGAGTTGAAAAATTTACTTTCTCATGGGTTTTTGAAGGTCATATTTGCAATGTTTTATAATTTAAGTTTTATAAATTCATTTATTGCTAAATTATATCAAAGCCATACGACGAGTTTTAGAAATATTGAAAATGGCCAGATATTTTGACAAATTTCATGTAAATGGTAATTTAATTTAGTCATTTTCTTTATTAAAGGAACATTTATAATTTGCTGGCTGAACTTTTAATATTAATTTGGTTGAAATTTACATTTTGTTTATTTTTTTAAAACAGTTTATCAGGAAAATATGTCATGCAAATTCACTAAATGTCATCAGTCTTTCTGGTTTTGATGCGGTCTTCATTCTTAACTTTTTAATTGAACGAGTGTGAAACGTCGACATCTTCATTATGTCATTCTCTTTTTAAGTAATATGTGCGTATAAAACAGAATCTTACTCAATAAACTGAGTGACAGCACTTCATCAAACAATAGAAAGAGAAATTTCAGTAAAGTTAAATGACATAATGACATTTATGCGTTTTAATAAGTAACAATTATAAATGCATAATAATATAATAAACAAATAAAAAATATAAGAATAAATTTAACTCAGACATCAATGTCTTATTCAGTATATATTTTGTCATCAAATATATGAGAATTCTTTTGTTGAAAGAAAAACAGAAATTCTGAACAAAACAAAAACAAAATAACGCTACAGCTCAAAACGCTTTTCCTACAAATTTGAAAATACGTCCTCATCTATAAAATGTTATGTTACAATCAGTAAATAAGAAAAGGATAAATCAATAAAATTATAGGCAAATGTTAAAAATATTTTGTATGAAAAATGATCTTTTACTTATTAAAACGCATAAATGGGAAAGGTTTCTGGAGTAAACTCTGAAGACAAAGCTGGAGACAGGTCCATAAGACAGTGTGAACATTATGTTTAACTTTGTTCTGGCAACTCCAGTGATGCTATCAGTACCAAGCTGTATTGGACTCTATTTTTCCTTTGGACAACATCAGTGGCATGGAGTGGGGGAGACATGTTGCATGGGCAACTGCCAATCTCTCATAAAACATTGCCCAGGCCTGTGCCCTGGAGAGAAGACTAACATGTCATCTCACTGCGATATCAAAACATAGGAACCAAGGGTCCTTCTGTATAGGAAACTTGCCACTAGCATGAAAGTGACCACATCTTTGGTTCAAAGATACGTACAAAAGTGACATGAGGGCGATGGACATTAAATATTGCCATCGATCGCTCATGCTGAAGACAACTTACACTGGTGACTGAGGAGTGAAGAAACAGAGTCTTGCCATTGGATAGAAGCATGTTCGAAGGAAAAAAAATAACAGAACATCAAGGAAGAGAGTCTTCACATGTATTCATTGCAATCTTGACTGTCACTCCTGTGCGGGCCCTGTATAGTCATAACAGATTCTGCACCCCCATCAGCAGCCAAGACACATAACATTTTGGGTGCAGATCCATGGTCTTTCGAGACTGATGGATACCACATATGACTGACATGTTATGCAGTAAGGACGAACAAATGTTGCCCCTTGCCCAAAGGTGACCCAGAAATATGATACCCATATCACCAATAAACATAGGGAAAAATTAAAAATTGGACTTTTTCTGGACAGACCACATATCATAATTGCATAAAAAAAGATCATGTAATGATCATATAAAAAAAAACAAATGAGATAAGTCTGCATAAATAATACTACACCTTGCCCAAAGGTGACCCAGGATTGTGAAAGGAAGGGATGTTTCATTTCACGTTACCTATAAGCACAGGGAACAGAGAAAAGCTTTCAAAGAAAAATACTTATTTTCCCAATACAGACAAAATCTCTTGAAAGAATTTCCAAAGCTCTTAATAAGAAAAACATCAAAGAGAGAAAAGTTCCAACAGATGTGCGAACTGTGATGAGGCAAAAAACAAAACAAGAAAAAAAACTGTCAAAACTTCATCAGATAACCTTTAATGTAAAAGCAATCACCAATCATTATTCCTTGTCTGCATTATCTTCTGAGAATTCCTATAATCCTGCAAGGAGAGGAAAAATCAATTCTATAAAAATGGCGCTTCCATTTCTCATTCTGACAATTGGCAAATTAATTCTTTGATAATTACAAAAGTGATTATGGATTATATTCAGTAGGAAATCAGAATTTAATGATTACAGCAAAGCTTATTGAGAGGAACATGGAGTTCTTTTTGTTTTTTTCTTCTTAGAAATCCTTACTGGCTTTACATTAATTTCTGCTCTTCTAAAGATTTCACACCCGACATCTTCCCTCAAGAGAAATGGACATTTACCTATGATGTCTATAACTGACAACCTTTATTTTTAAATGTCACTCAACTGAAAACCAGATTGAACCATTACAAAGAAAACCAAGTTTTTATAAGACATTCTTATACATTCAATGCCCTTAATGTCTTGAGATCATCTCTTGGAACCTGACCATTTCTACACAAAGCCATCAAGATTAAATGTCAGACTGTCATAGAATATATGCACAAAAGACTGCTGAAGAGTAATGACACCACAAGGAATTATCAATTCTGACATTCATATAATAACATTTTCCATTATTAATAGTTTGTATTTTTTGTAATCCAACCTGAGTTTATGTTCACTAAAAAAATACAATAGCTGTTTTCTGAAGGTGGGAGGTGACTTTGTTGCAGTTCAGAGCATATGTTCTGTAGAAAAATCATTCAAATACAGTCCACTTGCAAATTGGCAAACAAGTATAGAAGTTATAATTAGAGAGAAAAATATAAACATGAATTTGCAAATGCATGGCTTTGAAGATAAGAATCCAAAATTGAAAACATTGGTTGATTAAAATACCAAAAAACTGAATTTAGAAAGAAATAATTTTCTAAGGTTTTCCTATTTGCAAAAGGTGGGGGTGATCAGAAAAATTATGGATGGTTAAATGAAAGAAAAGATGAATGAAAGAAAGAAAGAAAGAAAGAAAAGATGGGTGAAAGAAAGAAAGAAAGAAAAGATGGGTGAAAGAAAGAAAGAAAGAAAAGATGGGTGAAAGAAAGAAAGAAAGAAAAGATGGGTGAAAGAAAGAAAGAAAGAAAAGATGGGTGAAAGAAAGAAAGAAAAAAAAGAAGATGGGTGAAAGAAAGAAAGAAAGAAAAGATGGGTGAAAGAAAGAAAGAAAGAAAAGATGGGTGAAAAGAAAGAAAAAAAAGAAAAAGAAAAGAAAGAAAGAAAGAAAAAGATGGGTGAAAAGAAAGAAAGAAAGAAAAGATGGGTGAAAGAAAGAAAGAAAGAAAAGATGGGTGAAAGAAAGAAAGAAAAGATGGGTGATAGAAAGAAAAGATGGGTGATAGAAAGAAAAGATGGGTGATAGAAAGAAAAGATGGGTGATAGAAAGAAAAGATGGGTGATAGAAAGAAAAGATGGGTGATAGAAAGAAAAGATGGGTGATAGAAAGAAAGAAAGAAAAGATGGGTGAAAGAAAGAAAGAAAGAAAAGATGGGTGAAAGAAAGAAAAGATGGGTGAAAGAAAGAAAAGATGGGTGAAAGAAAGAAAAGATGGGTGAAAGAAAGAAAAGATGGGTGAAAGAAAGAAAAGATGGGTGAAAGAAAAAGAAAAGAAAGAAAGAAAAGAAAGAAAAGATGGGTGAAAGAAAGAAAGAAAAGATGGGTGAAAGAAAGAAAGAAAAAGAAAAGAAAAGATGGGTGAAAGAAAAGAAAGAAAGAAAAGATGGGTGAAAGAAAAGAAAGAAAAGAAAAGATGGGTGAAAGAAAAAAAAAAGATGGGTGAAAGAAAGAAAAGATGGGTGAAAAGAAAGAAAGATGGGTGAAAGAAAGAAAAAAGATGGGTGAAAGAAAGAAAAAGATGGGTGAAAGAAAAGAAAAGATGGGTGAAAGAAAA